CCATTCATGCTCTGTCTCTCTCTGTCCCAAAAATAAATAAACGTGTTTAGAGAGAGAGAGAGACAGAGCATGAGTGGGGAGGGGCAGAGAGAGGGAGACACAGAATCCAAAGCAGGCTCCAGGTTCTGAGCCATCAGCACAGAGCCTGACGCGGGACTTGAACCCACGAGCTGTGAGATCATGACCTGGCTGAAGTTGGATGCTTAACTGACTGAGCCACCCAGGCACCCCTTTAGTATTTTCTTAATTGTACAAATAAGCAAGTTTGGTATGTGGTTTGAAATATTTGTTCCAAAGAAGAGAATATGGCAGGGAAGATGGGGTGGTAGGCAGGGATGAGGTGTTAGGAAAGGTAGTGTTTGAAAACTGTGGCGAGTCAGCTCGGTGAAGGTTTTGGAGATAAAAAGGAGGATGATTGTAGAGGCCAGTGAGTAGTTAGTAAGGACGTCTGAGCAGGATTTGGAGTATGGTGTGTTTTGTCCCTGTTTTGTTTTTAGCTATTACTACAGAATGTGGGTAAATGGCTGTAGGTGGTTGGTCAGCATCTTTTGTTTTTATTTTCACTTTAAAAAAAAAGACTTATTGGAAAGTGGCTGTGCTACAGCATTCTTCCATCATTTTCTGTTCTAGCTGCTCAGTTTATTTACTCGCGACGTGACAAACCTTCACTTGTTGAGCCTGTAGAAGAATATGATTACGAAGATCTGAAAGAGTCCTCCAATTCTTTTTTGAACCATCAGCTAAGTGGAATTGATCAAGGTATAGTAAAAAGTAGTTTATCCGTGCTTCGTGTTTGAAAATGATTGGTAATCGGTATACCAGAATTTTTCAGTTTTATTGTGATTGTTCATGATAGTGATGGTGGGAAGGAATGGTACAAATATATCTTGTCTCGTCAAGGGAAATTTACATTTTATTAAGTATATTTTATGAGGAATGTATGTTTAACTGTATGGCTGAAACATTGGTTGTGTGGGTATTTAACTGGAATTTTTGACTGAGATCTTTGTTTTATCTCTTCAGGAGAGAAACTTCAGTGATTTGTTTTCTTGTACCAATATTTATTATTTCATAAGCTCTAATAGGGAAAGAGATATATTGTGGATAAAAATATAATCATTATAAATAATTTTTGCCAAGGAAAGAGGAGAGTTGTACATCCTAATATAGTTTCAAATTCCTTTTTTTAGTTTTCAAGATTGAGTGTTCTTCCATGGCACCATTTAAGTACAGCCTTTTAATTATTTTCTGTTCTAGCTCGTCTTTATTCATGCCTTGGTCACATGAGAGAGGCACTTGGAGATGCCGTGCCAGATGACATATTGGTCGAAGCAGTTCTGAAGAACAAGTTTGATGTGCAGAAGGCCTTGTCACTGGTTCTGGAGCAAGATAAAATGCAGAATTTGAAGGTCAAGAGTGAGGGAGCAGCACCCACAGGGAAGACTGCAAAAGGTATGCTTTTCCTTGTTCTCCTTTAGTGGTTTTACAGCTAATGTTTTAAAAGAGGCACTGATTTGCTCAGGCTGTTAAGAAATATGGGCGGAACATTTTGCATGTTACAGTAATCCTGATTTTCATCAATTGATTTTCCACTTTGTGAATTTTTAAGCTGAGTGCTTTGTTTTCTTCCCTCTGTTACAGCTTGTTTTTTCATAATTTCCCTTTGTTTTGTAACTAGCAGGATATAGGGGAAATAAAATCAGACAAAAACAAGCCACTTGTTGCTTCTTGTCAGTAGCTTAGACAGCTTTTTAATTATTGTTGTTTTTCTAACTCTAATGGGTCAGGAGGTGGAAATTAATAGCCAGACGATTAATTACAGAAATCCCTTTATTTTTATAGTATTTATAAATATGTTAGTTTTATTGAAATATCATAAGTATCATACTACTGTTTCATTTCAAAGCCAGATCTTTAATTTTAAATTTATAGAATTTGGGGTTAAGCTTGGAAATTTAATTGGCATAAGAAGGGAACTGAGGTACCTCTGTAATAATTGGTATGGTATCTGTCAGTATGACCATGGTGATTTATTAACTGGGCTGGTATTTCCTGTAACCTGAGGACTAGATTTTTTTACCACATCAAAGTCGTATGCAATCTGTTACTATGAAACAAGGATGGGTTTTATTATCTATTTAAATTAAAAAAAATTTTTGATGTGGAGGCACTTGTAACTGACCCTATGAAAATGAGTCTTTAATATTTCATCTTTATTAATAGTTTATCCCAGAGATGACAGGATGTTATTTGTTTGCTTGTTTTTAACACATTAAAAATGTAGGAGAAGATAAACCTAGTTCTTTTCATTGGTCTTTTAATTGTTTTGAATTTGAGATAACCATGACGATAATTTAAGTACATTAAAACCTCACATTATAAAATTTGTGAAAAGTAGAATATTGACTAACTTGATATTTACATTTGCATATATTAGTGAACAAAGTATGAAGGTCACTGTAGATGGTTAAAGGAAGGTAAAATTCCTTTATTATTGTTTTTTTTAGAGTGTTCACTTATTAAATAATGATCAAATATTTGATCGCTTTATTCATGCTATAATCAGAAGAAACATTTAGTAATTAAATGCCTCATTTCATGTTTCCTTTTGGTTGCTGTGACTGTCTTCTGCATATGTCAACCTATTCATCTGAAAATTAATGGCTTTTGTAAGGTAAGGAGTCTTATTATCTTCCTCTCAAGTTTCAGCTGATAATGTTCAAAGCTCTTGTCCTCAATCCGCAAACCATTTGGATTGTAGTAGCAAACCCTCTGATTTTTCTGGCCCACTAGCAAAATATGGATTATATCATAATTCCTCAGTTGTACCAAGTCACTATTTACTCCATAAAAAAAAGAAACCTGACAGACCTAAAAGTGAAAAGAAACTAGAATCATGTAAGTTAACAAAAGAGCTTTCGCTAGCTGACCTCATTGATGATGCGCCAAGAGATTCTTGTAAAAGTCAGCCGTCAGTCAGATTATCATCCACGGATGGTCTGGAAAGTCTGTTTTCAAAGAATCTAGGTGCTGATCTGTTTAGACCTCATGAATCGGAATGTGTTTCCAAAGATGATTCTGCATTCAAAGAAATACCAGATTTAAAATCCTTAATGATAAAGAGCACAACGCCTAGTAACTCTTTATGTATTCAGAATAATTCACTTCCTGCTACCCATAACATTCCAGTACAAAACAACTTAGGAAATTTAAATAGTCCTTTGCTCTTAACTAGCTCATTGGAAAATATAGCTCATGATAATTTAAATACTAGTAAAATGACTGAAGTTGGAAGTGTTTCTTCAGTTGAACAGAGTGCCAAGAATTACATTTTAAAAGATGACAGTCCGCAGTTTGCCGGGTGTGAAAGTCCATCCCTAGCTGAACTGTTTCAGGAACACAAAGAAAATAATCCAAGCCAGTGCTTTACTTTATCTGATCTTTGTGACCAGTCATCTGCCAGTTTCACAGATCTCAGTTTGGGATCTTTTCCCTTGTCAAGGCTAGCAAATCGGTATCCATCTTCGACTGGAATATCAGAGTTAACAGGATCTCTGTCGTCTTTGGCATTTTGTAAAGCTTCTCCTACAAGAGACCTTGAGAATTTGTCACTTTCTGATTTGATTGCAGAAACAATTGATGTAGACAACTCTCAGTTTAAGAAGGATTCCTTTAAGCTCAGTGTATCTGAAATGAGTTCACCTGGAATAGATTCAAATATTGATCTTAGTGTCCTTATAAAAACCCCTGATTTTGTTCCAAAACATGTAGTAGACCAATCAGTTGCTCCAACATCAGGAACTAAAGTTTTAAATTCGAAGTTAGGGAAAAATTTCAATTCTGCTAAGGATAATAAGAGAACCAATAAAGGCTCTTTGACTAGGAACCCACCTTTTTCTCTCTCTTGGACCAAGGCTCTTGCTGCTAGACCTTCAGCTTTTGCTTCTACACTGTGTCTTCGTTACCCATTGAAAAGCTGCAAGCGACGCACCCTTGACCTCTATAAGACTTTTCTTTATAGTAGACAAGTTCAAGACATAAAGGACAAAGAAATAAGTCCTCTTATAGCAATAACACCATTTGACTTCAAATCAGCATCTCCTGATGACATTGTAAAAGCTAATCAGAAGAAAGCTTTCACTAGAGAATAGTAACAGGAGAACTTTATAACTGTTGTAGAGTTTTTGTTTTAATTTAAAATCTTTATAGGATTACTGTATATTATGGGATGAGAGTTGTGGTTTTATATTAAAATTGTCTTAAGTCAGTTGATAACTTTAGTTGATAATGTATTTTTGCACTGAAAAAAACTTTTTTTTACTATATTTTCTTTTAGTGATAACGGGCTTTATTTAAGTTGATAGCCTAAAGTGGGTATATATGTTTACAAAATGCATATGGAAACTTGATATTGTGAAATCAAACCTCAGATATTTTTGTTTGAAGCACTCAACTTTATAAGTTTTTACAATGAGACCTTTTCTTTTGTAAAACATTTTTGTGCTTCATTCTTAAATGAAAATGCCACTTGGGATTATTCTAGTTTAGAGATAAAGATTTTTCTTCTGATATGTGGCATAGCATAGGTGAGACATAATTATATTTTAAAATATTAGTGATATCATTCCCATTCATTATTTTTCTGTAGGTGGATAAAATTTTTCTATTAGAAAATTTTAAAATTCCTGACTTTTAAGAATACTGTGGAGGTTGTCGAAATACATTTTTGATGATAATAAAATGAAAATCCTTTAAGGGACCATGTACATATTGAAGTTGGATTAGTACATAAATTATTTTTATACATTTTCGAAACCATTTGTCCTAAATGCACACTTTGAAATAAATATATAGAAAGTGTTTTCAAGTATGGTTGCATGCTGTTTGAATAGATAATTTTATCAGATCTCTTTAGCTTTTTCTTATGTAAGTAATAAAATGTGTTTTCCTCTGATACTGACAGTGTATGTGCTACCATGACCAAGTTTCAGCAGTGTCAGACCAAATCCGAGCTCTTCTAGGCAGTAGAACCAGTATGTAATTCATCCCTGAAAGCAGTGGTCCTCAACTAGCAATCAGAATCGCTAGGGGAATTTTTTTCAGAACAGATGCCGTGGCTTCAATCCAGACATGGTCAGTTAGTCTCAGAGGGATGACATTTTAGGACTGTGTATTTTTAAACAAGTCCCCAGGTGATTGTGATGTGTTACTTTTACTTGAGAACTATTGCCTTGGGGGAAGAACTCAATAGAATGGAAAGAATTACTGATGCTAAGGATAGCACCTGACCAATGTGAATTTGTATTTTATAGTTTCTCGTAATCAGAAATACCAAGGAAAATTAGGAATTATAGTCTTGCATAAGAGGATGCTGATACTGTATCATTAGTATTTCTTGCAGAAAAAAATAGGATCTAAAATGTTAGTTCTTAATGAAAATAAAATAGCTGGCCTTTTCCTAGTAAAGACCTACTTTCTCTGGCAGCTACTTCAGAGTGCTTTTTATAATTTTTCTTTTTTGTATTTCTTGTTTCAGTTTATTTTCAGAATGACATTCCAATATTTTTAGCTGTGTATGATGTTTTTATATCCACTGTTTTGGTGGGAAATCTTAAGCTAGAATTATGTTTTCCTTATTCTTGACCAAACGCTTTTTTTTGTGATGCCTTCAGGTTTTGTTTTTAACTGTGTATTTCAGTGTATATCATACTGATGCTTACGAGATGATATAAATTAGGTTATATTTTATGGTCAGTTTTAAAGTTTAAATTACCCCAACTGCTGATTTTGTTTTCCTAGTCTTATACATTGATGAAACATTTTAGTACTTTTGCAAAATTAGTGTATGACTCATCAACTAGATTTATATATGGGCCCTCTCCAACTTAGAAGTGAATTGTATTCTATGAGTTTGGAACTGACAAAATTCCTGATAGATTAAGTGTTAATGCAAGTGTACCCACTTTGAACGTGAATCCACAAATATTTATGTAACTCATATTAAAGTTGAACAGTGGTACTATTATTTTACCATCTTTTATAACAGATTTTCAAGTGGAAATGTAATACTTTTAAGCCATTAAAAGTAGATTTTGTAGTGAACTAGATTTCCCTTTGTTGGCTCATTAGGATTGTGACTACCATTTATAAGATTATTTCTTTAGGGAAAATCCTATATTGCAGGATGATAGGAAAGGCAACAATTTTTAAATAGGTCTCCCTGCCATTGTCATGGCTTCTGGTCCATCAGGCAAGTACATGACATGTACTTGGCTTTGTTGAGTAAGGAATTGTCAGTCTCTGAGATTCAGAGCGGAGCCGAGAAGACCCTTTGCCCTTTCCACCCTTGGCCTTTGGCCCTTGATAAAGCGACCAGTGCCTGTTTATGGATACACCTCAGTGACGATGATTTGCTCGCACTAAATGCGTACTCTGCACCAACTGCCCGTTTTTGACTGCTGTTTGGTAGCTCAGGTATGCTAAGTGTTTTGATTTATTTTCCAATTCTAATACCAGTTTTGTAGTGCAAAGTCATTTTTATTTGCATTATGATCAAGTGCATTAAAATTTTACTTTAGGAATAGATATAATGTTGTAATTATGTTCTAAATGATACAAAATACAAAAGATATTTAAAATTACTAGTTTTGGTCACGTTTTTTGTCCTTAAATGATCTAATGTTCATGGATGTTTTGTCCTTTTGCATTCTCAAGTCTTTGGTTGGCTCTTTTGGTTATGATTCTTCTTTCCATTAATTGGCAAGAACTAGGGTTTCACTTCCTTACAGAACACTTTGCTTAACTTTTCTTTTTTGTTTTACCTTTTTCCTATTTCCAGTTTAATAATTGCCATTCCAGCCTCCTTCCCTCCTTTGGCTTTTAATTCTTCTTTCTTGAACTTTCCTTTCATCCTTTTGTCTTCTCATATAAGTAGTAATAAATAGCCCAAGTGTGTTATATTTTGTTTTTAGTGTTCGGTGGGAGGTCATACAACTGATTTTCACATCAGAGATAAAACCAGTATAGTGCTTTTCTTTGTATGTAAAGGGAAGCACTGTTAAGATAAACACAGTTAAGAGAAGATAATGGGTTTGTATGTGATTATTTACCTTTTAAATTGATCCTGAATTTATATGTGGACCACTACAAATAAACAAGTGCACAGTTATACATGGAGGAAGAACTGTGTATCAACAAGTTTTTTTGTCTTGTATTCCTACAAGTATGTATTTGCTTATAGAGTCAGATTTGTAGTAGCCTAAAAATTGTTTTCTATTACTTGTGTGAACAAAGAGAATGTTGACTAAACAGGGAAGGATTGATAGTAATTTCTTTACTAGTTTTCTTTTAAAATTATATAAGACTCAGCATATGCAATTATACATTGTATTTTTAATTTTTAGGGTGTAAAAGATGTCATTTTGAGTGTATATATACATTTTTGTAAAAGCGACGTTGAAATAAATTACAGTTCTGAGGTTCTCCAAAATCAAGTAAGAAAACAACACAGTTTATCTATAGGGATTTTTAGGTAAGCTTGAGCCTTCAGAATGGAATTTTAATAATTTATGCTGAAGGTACTACTTTTATGTTCCTGTAAACAAATTAATTTTTTTTTTCAACGTTTATTTATTTTTGGGATAGAGAGAGACAGAGCATGAACGGGGGAGGGGCAGAGAGAGAGGGAGACACAGAATCGGAAACAGGCTCCAGGCTCTGAGCCATCAGCCCAGAGCCTGACGCGGGGCTCGAACTCACGGACCGCGAGATCGTGACCTGGCTGAAGTCGGACGCTTAACCGACTGCGCCACCCAGGCGCCCCAGTTCCTGTAAACAAATTAAAAAAAAAAAAAAGAACTACCTGTTTGTAAAGAATTTCCTCTAAGATATTTGCCATTTCAAATTCTTGCTTTCCAAAAGGTAAAATTTCGTATGTATTTACTTTTGAGGACTTAACATAGAAATCCTATTACAGTATAGGTTATAACGAATATGGATATTGTAATTGCAAGGATGGAAGTAGAAGGGGAAAGAATTGACAGAGTGCCCATTTCTGATGTTGACGTGCCTGGTTTATATTATATGACCGAAAGGAAAACATCACATCATTTTAGTTGCAAGAGATATCACAAGGTGAGCAAAGCAATGATTGTTAACCTCAGATGGGAGGGGGGTTGTGGGTACTTAAACACATAATTGTATTGATTGTAGTGTGGCAGTTACGTCTTTACACTCTCCAAAGCTGACATCTTTGCCCTCCTGATCTGAGCTGCTGCCTCCTCTGCTTCCTATTTTTCTTAGTAGTATCTCTGTCTTCCAGTTGCTTAACCCAGAAACCTAGCTAACATCGTCCTTGATTTCTCTCCCTCATTTACTTACAATTGATTACCGGTCCTATTTTTCCTGCTTTACAAATAAGTAAAAACATCTGTGTATATACAGTTGATTGTCGTTATTTGTGGTAGTTACATTGTATAAAATCACAAATTAGTGAACACTGAGTGCAGTATGCCAACACTGACTTCTCAAATGCTGAAGCATTGCTCTTACAGGAAATACAGGGTTAGGTTCCTTTCATCTTCTGGTCACAACGTTTTTGTCAGTCAGTATGTAACCTTACTTTATGTATCTATTAAAAGACATTTGTTTAAAATGTATTATTTACATATCATTAATTCATTAACATTGAACTCACAGCCAGTGGCTCTATAACTCAGGCCTGTACAAAGCTTATCCAACACATGGCTTTTATTTATAAGGCACATCACAGCTGCCTTGTACTTAGGAACGCTAGGCAGTGCTTTAGCACTACTCATGAGGACCATTTTAAACAGCAAAGTAGCCAACTAAAATCACAGTGTGAAAAATGTGACACGAAATAGATCATAAAAAGGATACTTGTTTATGGTGTAAGAGCCAAAACAAGAAGGCAGGGTATCACCTTTTGACCCAGCAGGGAATGTGCATGTTGGGTGACTCAGATTTTTTGCTTCTCTGCATTTATCTGGGAGTGATTGCAAAAGTGCCATAAATAGTGATTTGGGGGTTACCAATAAACTTTAGTGAATAGGTGAATTTCTAAATATGGAAACCGTCAATAACAAGGCGGCATTGTACATTTTTTGACCCCACTGTTCTCCATTGTTATTGCCAGTTTACCTCTTAAAAGGCCATTAGTTTTGAGCAAAATTACTGAAAAATGAACTGGTTTCTTTACCTCTCATTTTATTTTGCCCAAAACACTTTCTACATTACAACCAGAGTAACTTTTCTAAAATGAAGCTCTAATATTCTGTCCTCTGTATAAACCTTTTAAATTATTTTATAAGACTTTTTCTGAATTTGTTTCTGTTTTGTGCGCCCTCTCTCCCTCCCCCCCCCCCCCCCCGAACAAACCTACCTGAGTTTCCTCTGCTTCTGTATAGTGCTTTGCCCCTACCACCACCCCCATTTCTCCTGGCTGATCATCCTTCATGTTGTAGTTTATATATCACTTCACTCCCAGTCCTGGGGAGGGGAACCTTCATAGGCACCCTAGTTCATTGCATTCCTTTTATTATTTTATTCCCTTGTAGTCCTGTTGAATTGTCCCTCACAGCACTTAAATCATCTGACATTGTGTGTGCATACACAGTTATTTTTATTACCTGTCTCCCTACTGCTCCTCATGGCCCCCACGCAGCTTCTATGGGTTTTGTATTTTTGTATTATTTGTATTTTTTGTATTATTCTTCTAGAAACTTTACTTGCATATCACTATGTGAACCTGCACGTATATATTTAGACAAATGGGAAGATGCTGTAACACTTCTATATCTGTAGCAGTTGTCAAAGCCTTTTGCAGACTTTACTGTTTATACAGAGATCAATCTCATTCTTTTCAGAAGCTGTGTAGGATTTCTTAATGTGGTTGTACATTAAATAGCCCTTGTTGATAAACATTTTAAGTGTTTTCAGTTGCTATCACTAATGACCCCAAAATGAACACCCTACATTTTTAGAAGTTGAATTTCTGGGCCAAAAAATATATACTTTAAATTTTTGATAGATGCTGCCTAATTATCTTTAACAGAGATTGTACTAATTTCCTTTCTCACAGGTTTCTGAGTATTTCTGTGCAGATTCTCACAGATATGGTTATTACTCTTTCTGGTATTACACCAACCTGATCATTAGAAAATATTTTTTTCATTTATTTATATGTTTTTAATAGAGTGAGGCTAACTGCTTTATCGTATATTTAAATCTATTTGTATTTCTTTTTCTTGGAACTGTCTACTTTTAATCTTTACCCATTTTTCTGCTCGTTGTCTTTCATAATGACTTTTTGTGTGTGTATATATACAATGTATGTATTGTATATATATGTGTACATGTACTTAAAAGTAAAAAAAACATTAGTCCTTTGTTGTATGCCTGGAAAATACTGTTTTCCGATTTTACCAGCTTGTTGTTTTTATAAGATAGAATTT